ATATGTGTTATGTTAAGAAAGCATATTGACCATTGTTATCAGAAAATCATATCTTTAAACTTAAATGTCTATGTTGGTAATTGCCTTAAATGATGTTGGTCAGACACTTGCTAGTCTAGGTATCTGACACAAGATTTTAACTGAATACCACTAAAACCTCTTAATTAGAAAGGAAGATAATAACATATGCAAACTTGAATAGACTCCAACTAAATTCTCAGATAAAAATAAAACCAGTTTGTGCTGATAATTTCAAAGATAAATATGTAATTAGTCAGACTGTAGCGTCTCTGTTATATTAGAGGTGGTTGACTTTTGGCTTGTTAGAGTCTGACTAACCCTAATGCCTACCCTGCTGCCCAATGAAAATAAAATTGCTCGTATATTAGTGTGGTGCTGCGGTGGTGAGAGGATTAGTAGGGGCGCTCTCCTTCCTCCTTCAATTAGCACTGTAGCGAGTGGCCGCATTTGCACTGGTTAAGACGAGAACACATACCTATTAATCTATTTCTTTAGTTATGTAACCATCAGAATATTTTATAGTTTGAAGGCGAAACTGTTGGCACTCTGCTTAGGAAAGTCCTCAAGATTTATTGACTGATTTCAACAGATTAGGCTCAAAATGGTTCAGTTTGAAATAGTAATAGATAACAATAGATGTAGGTGGATTGGTGGGTAGTAGAGGGTTGATGTGTTGGTTGATGGATGGTCGGAGGAATGCAAGTAGATACATTATTGTGAATGACTTCTAGGTGGTCGAAGTACATAGCAACACTAGCACTTTGGTTAGCTGTGTATACAGAGTGCAGAGTGAATCTGTATTGTATATGCCCAGCATATGTGTAAGTACATACAGACACACGAAGAGTCCCGTTCTTCCCCCCAAATTGGCAGCCCTGAAGACAAAGCCTCGTCTTACGATGGATACTCTTTCATTTGCGCGTTGGGCTCATTTGCTCTGAAGTTTATGCATCCTGGTAACAGTAAAGCTATCCGAGTCCCCCAAGTACTCCATCTTGTAAGCTTTATGCCTTCCACATGGTTATAATTTGAGATTTTCCCGATTTTCAAAGCTTTTTTTGAGCCTAGTGTTGTTAATTAAAAAGTGGACTAGTTTTGTTGTGGCCTTTTGTGTTGCCAAGTAGGGAAATCACCGCCCTCTTTGTTGCTCTCTCCATTTCTTTCTTTGCTTTTCCTTCACTCTCTCTCTCTCTCTCTCTCTCTCTCTCTCTCTCTCTCTCTCTCTCTCTCTCTCTCTCTCCCCCCTCCCTCTCTCTGTCTCCCACTCCCTCGTCCCATCTGCCTTTGTCAAGAATAAAGCTAGCCCAACCACTTTGTAAATGAAACATCCTCCCACTATTAATGGGATTGAGCAGATGTTTTCTGTTTGGACGGTCAGAGATGCGACAGTAAAGCCTGCAGCAAAACAAAACAAAAAGATTTTTGGAAAAAAAAAAAACAACCCAGAAAGCTAAAGCAGATATTTATGGAAATGATTATATCACTTCCCTCATGTCCCATACGGACGCATGTCTCGCACACATGGCAAATTAGAGGTCATCCCTTCCAGTTTAGCGCATGTCTAAGTGCGTGTGCCAGCGATTTTGGTACTAAAACATCGTAAATAACACTGTAACCTCTGGGACGAGGTGTTATAAATAGGACGTGTCAAACCCTGCTCCGGCCAGCCTCTGGTTTCCCCGAAACCCTCTCTTTTCACCCGCCGAGCGGCTCAGCTACTTTTTAATTTGGCCTTCCCGCGGGCTAACCGACTGACGCCTCACGGCGAGGGCCTCTGTATTTCAACAAGGCCACAAAACCCCCAGTCCTCGGGCACTTGCGCTCACAAAGCTCTCCAGCCTTTCTGAGCTGTTACTTTTTTGGAGCCCAGACTCTACCATCAGCAGAAGAAAACGCCGGCCCTGGCCAGAACACAGCGGCCAAGTCTCATCTGTCAGAAACCCAAGGGCCAGACTCTCCAGCCACCGGGTGGGCGGGGCCCGACCAAAACAGAGAGAGGAGGAAGAAAAGAAGAAAGAGTGGAGTGTGGGGGAGAGAGGGTTCGAGAGCGAGAGGAAGCTCCCAGATAAACAGACCGCAGCGCCTCAACTCCTAATCACCCTGCGCTTCCGTTTCCAGACTCTATAATTAGAAGGGCCCCGTCCCTTTTTTCTCTGTATTCCCAGTTGACGCAAATGCTTCTTGTGGCTTGGCACCTCGTTTGGGGCGTGGGTTTTCAAGAGTTTACAGGCCCTGGGCCTTAGCTCTCTGGCTTTCTGGTCGCTCTGATACAGCATGAATAGCTAACCACTGTCTTAATGCACACTTCACTTGGCTTCCCTTCTTCTTTCCTCCCTCCACCTCTGATAATCTGCATGACCCCATCGCTCATCCACTCTGTACCTCCCTCATTCCACTTCTCTGTCGTCTTTAAATATAACCGTTCCAGTCATATACAAGTGTTAAAAAAAGAAACCTTTCAACTCTGAATGAATGTGCAAAATTTTGTAGCACACTTTTTTTTTTCCAGAGAAGAGGGAGTGTTTTCCATCTCCCTCGCACGTGTTGCTGAATCCTTTTAATCTCATGCCATTCCAGCCTCCTCTTTTCACATTTGACATGCCACCCAATAAAGCCCGGCCACTAATTAAAACCTACTGCAGGCTCCACATAAAAGATTCCATGGGGAAAAACTCAGAGGAAAATTACTAATTACTTTAATATCATTTATGTCTGGGAGTCGTCAAAAAGACAGAGGTTTGGACATTTTTTTTCAAATCTTACACTCCATATCAGTGATGCGTTTCCAACATTTTGAGTTACTGCCCAATGGACGGGTTTGTTTGTAACATCTCGAAAGGCTTCTGGGGATGGGTTTTGGGTTGCGCTTGAAAAGCAGTGCGGCGTTTTTTCCTAACCGAGCCAGTTCAGATCTGGGTTTGTTCTGGTGTGGTTTGTTGAGCATGTTGTTTATGGTGAGGGCCTATACTTTCTGGAGTTTGACGAGCTTCAAATAAAACTGCACCAAATGAATGGGCCTGTCAGTGGGGGTTACACTTGTGCTGAGCTGTGGTTCAGTGTTTCGGTGAATCTCAATGCACACACACACACACACTCACACACACACACACTCACACACACGTAGGAATACATAGATTCTGTCTTTTACAGAGGCTCATCATCTTGTCTGTCCTCGGAGAAGCACACGACTAGAGCCCTGCTTTTAACCAGAGGAGCTCTCATGCAAGGGAAGGTTGCATTTTATGACATCGACAAACGATAGCTGGCTTTGTTTTAATGGGCTGGTTCGTTTGTTTTAAAGGCACAGTAATTCTGTCATGCTGTCTAGCATGTGCCCTGCACAGTTGGTAGTGTTGGCTGTCTTTGTGTGAGCCGCTGGAGTGAAATACACTTTAAATATTTTGGTTGGCCTGACTTCGTATCAGTTTACCAGTGGCAGCATTCAAACACACTGGCACGGTTGAAAGGTTTGGTCAACTTTGACAAGAATATAAAGGTTATGGTTTTCTCTGAACTTTCCACAATGAAATAATTTCTACTGAAAGACTGGGAACAGCATGAAATGACATGTTAAATAATCATCACGTATAGGTTTTAGTAGTATCAAATGTATGATTTAAGTATCAAAGTACGAATTTGTAAGTAATGATTCTCTTCTCAACTGATTTGATTGGGATTGTGATTTGCATCACATTGGTTAGGTAAGCGTAATGAAAGTCTAGTCAAGGAAGCTGGCATTTGAAGACAGTATGTATACTGTTGCAAGTATATCTGTATACTGTTGCAAGTATATCTTATAATTGGTAGAAAATATAATGAAATCTAAAATTGTCTTTATTTGATGTGATTTTGTTTCTGTGATTAAATTTTTTTGCACGGGATTCACAAGATTGCCCGAGGCCGTGATATCCTGACTTTAAGTCCATAAAATGAGTCCAGTCCTAAAAGCACTTATCCCATAATGCACTCCTTCATTAAAACCTCACTGCCTGATAAATGTATGTATCACAGGCTTTCTGTGAATTTGTAGTTCCCAAACCTAATTCAAAATGACCCTGATGATGCCATCAAGGGTCAGCAAGACCAGTAAACCGACCTTCATGTATCAAATTGGTGGGGTGCTTCCTCAATCTTTGTTTTGATTTGAGAACACATTTTCCAGTCTGTACTCATTGCAGCAGTTATCCATTAGTTATGTTATTGTTCAGCTTATTTTTTGGAACACATTCTACCAGGGTTGACCAAAAGCAAGTTTATACCTGTAGTTTCTGGCCTGATGTTGCCACACCAGAATACATACTGTAATAAAAAATAAAAAAAATAGAAAGCATGCAGTGGAGGAATAAAAAGAACCTAATGTAGACAATATGGCCGCTTACAAATACTAAATGAAGCATACAATACAGAAGCATATAAATAAAGCAAACAGCACATTAATGTCAAAGCAAAAACTACACATAAAACCCCAGTAGACTACATAAACATGATCATGATGATGATAACCAATGTTGAAGCCATTCAGTGAGTGATTCCTACTGTAAGGTAGGGGTGTAAGAAAATATTGATCCACTAGAGTGTGGTAATGTTTTGTTTTGTGGTATTATTATTATTATTATTATTATTATATCGATTCTTGATTTTTGCATTTAAACCCCCAACCGCTAGATAGCACTGTCATAAACTTAAACTGTGGGCTAGGATGTTAGAAAGTACAGGAACTGTGATAAATATAAATGCAGATCACACTGTTCTGGTTGCATGAAATTTGTAAACATTTATTTTAATCAGATTTTATGCATATCGTGGTGTGTTCTTTAGTTTTTCTAAAATTAGATTTATAAAAATCACCTCATATCGCCTTGCTTACATTATCGCAATATATCACAAAAAATAAATCCTAACCACTGTATCATGATACGTATAATGTTTCCAGACTTGCCCAACTGTGATGCTGAGGACTGTGTGTGTGTTTGTTGTAGGAATGCTGCTGGTGACTGCTGACACCCTGGGCCACGATTTTCACGTCTTCCAGATCCTCACCCACCCATGGGCATCCTCACAGAGCGCTGTTCACCACCTCTACACCCTGCATCGTGGGGAAACTGAGGCCAAGGTCTGAGACACACACACACACACACACACACACACTCACCTCACAAATTTCATCAGCTCTAAAAAAGTAAAAAAAAAAAATGAAGTACGTTAAACTAAACGTATAAACCATTATCAATGCTGGTCCGTCCACATAAAACAAAAGGCTTTGTACGAGAGATAAAGAAAGTTATGACACCAAGCAAAAGCATTAGAATCTAGCCCAAAATAAAGGGGATGCAGGGAGCAAATGCCAAGAAATACTCCAGTTCCAATTTTTGTAGTGTTTGGAATAAGGGTCATTGACTGTGGTTTGCTCTGCCAACAGGTGTGTGCTGCAATTTTAACACAGAAAACATAAGCAACCAGAGAGCAGGCAAATGGCCCAGATTTAAAGCAACTCATCAGTTAATCAGCATTATTTACGGTCTTTCTTCCTCCTCCTCTCCCACGCTAAACACTCACACACTGCTAAATGTTTTCCTGACACCTAATTGAATCAGGCGTGTAGAAGTTGACATAGAGCAAGTATGTTTATCTAAAGAGGGCTTTATCCCCAGTGCGTGCCTTATTTCCTGTCAGTAGTAGACAGTTCTTCTTCCTTCCAAACCACACACACGCATTTAAAACATAGACAATTTGTGGGAAAATCAGCCATGACAAGTAAAAAAAACATTCAACTACTGCTTTACAAAAAATACAAGAACAAATCATTACATGTTCCAATCTTCTTCCTCTCGCCCCCTCCATTCTCCTTTCTCTTGAAAATGTTATAGAAGGAGAGCTTCTTTCACTTTCTCTCACTTTTCTTTCCCTTCCGATAGAATTCTAGCATTTGAGGAGACCATCTATGAAAAATTGCTTTAAATACTGTGTGCATATAACGCATTTCAAATTGGTGGGGCCAATAAGCTCCGCAGTATCACTGCTATTTATTGGTGTTTCATTTTCAGTAAATCTTTAAAGCTAACGAAGTGGCGGATAATGGCAGCGCCAGGCTGCCAACATTTGGATGAGAAAGTTTGATTTACGTCACATGACACAATAAGCCAATACATTTTTTACATACTTAATAAAAAAGCCTCTACAAAGAAATTAGATTTTTTTTTATGTTCAAAAGAAAGTAAGGCTCTGGCCCTACTGGTTCCGCAATCCTCGATCGAACAGAAAAGTACTTTCAGTACTTACAAGTTCAGTTATAAAGGTGGTTAAGATGCTGTAGAAACAGTCACTCATGATCTCTCAGTACAGTGTGTACTAAAGGGACTGAATCAGGGATAGTCATAGTCAGACAATGTGGGTCAGATGTTTGCAGGTGTATGTTAAAATTGTATATCAAGACAGACAGGATAACAGATGTCTTTGTGATTCACCGTTAAAGTTGGTAATCCGTTCTTAAAGTATATTTAACTACAGGTAACCAGTGCAACAATATCTGAATTACATTATGTTACCATTTACCTTTCACTGGTGAAATTAAGGTATGTATTAGACTGATAACCATCCATAACTGATATGGACATAATATAAACGCAGTATAATGGTTAAGTGGAGGAAACACTGTTGCATGAAGTACAATGGCATTCTTTGTGTCCACCTTGTTCATTATTATTATTATTATTATTATTAGGAAACCTTGGAATGTATAATTGCTTAACTCCCTTAAAAACACAACAGTCTACACACAGATATAACCAAAATGCTTTCCTGTTGAAAAAATGTAAAGTAAGAAGTATCCACTATTTTCTCTTGACTTAACATATTTCCAATGGGACATACTTTGTAAAATATAGTTTAGGATCAATAAATATGTTTTTGGCACAGTGTTTGGATTTCTATCATTCACCCAGTCAATTCCCATGTGAATTCCCATGTGAATTCCCCCTTTATAGACCGGAAAACAAAATAGGTAGGGTTCCATTGCAGTAGAGGCACTTGCTAGAGTGGAGCAACCAAAAGTGGGTTGGGCCAAACAAATCCTGTGCATTGGTCATTTAATGCCATTTAAAATAAAACTGACAAATATTCTTTTTAAAGTGGTATTAATTGAAAAAATCAACTTGATTAAACCTATATTTAAAAATGACATCAAAAAGATCTGCCAACGTAGGCTATGTGTAATATCGGTTGACTTTTTTAATGATAGCTGTAAAAACTCAGGCAACCCACACAAGACAGATGCCTATCGATCGATCCACAATACATTTAAAGTTTATATCGGGGCCTTGTTGAGATGAGCAGGGCAATGGAAATTAATTTGATTCCAGAAATCATAAATGAAATGTATCAATGTTTAATTCAGTCATCACCTTCCAAGTTAAGATATATTGTGCCTCTTTTAAATTTCCTGTACCCTCTCAGCCGCGACATGCAGAGACTGCAGTGCACGTTAGAAGCGCTTACTCAACAAAACTACTTCGGGCCTTGTTCGGTTCAGGATTATTGACTGGGAAAACACACCGTCACACACACACATTCTCACAGCCTGCCTATAGTTAATGTATGACCAAACGGCAGGTCCGCTGACCGGCTGCACACTGAGCCTGCTTTGATCCAAGCCGTTGTAAACACTGAAAGCCGGCCTTAGCCTAGTGCTTGGGCCAGGGGTTATCACCACACACTCTCTCACACACACACAGACACACAGCGGAGAGTGATAAAGTCTACAGTTAGGTGGGTGGAGAGACGCCTTATCTGTCTCCAGCGGCCAAACATGCGGCTGGCTGTCAGTGACCCGAGGCCAGGTAAACAGACCTGCAGCTGATAACAGCTGTAAGGGGCTGAAGGAGGACCAGAATGTAGATGAGAGTGGAGCCACGGGGCAAACTGGAGAGTGCAAGTCACTGAGGTTAAAGGCGTGACACTCCATTACTGCTGAACTTTACAGCCCTGCACCATCAGCTGTGATTGTGATTGGGTTTTGAAGTAACCAGGCTACTGTTGGCATTCTGCAAGAACCTGATTACTTTAACTTTGTGTAAATTAGACACCTGATTTCCTCAGCCAGAAATCTTCTAGAGAATGTTGATTGCTTGGCCATGTATACGGGTAACTGGGTTTATAATTATGCATCCTCGTATTAAAAATAAATATATTAAATATTCAATACTAAAAATGAAACTAAGACGTATATAATATGTCCTTTTTGAACTTATATAGTATATGTTAAAATTCCAGAAGCAGCATGTTGTATCACTAATAAACTAAGTAAGCCATGGTTAAAGTAAAGGGTTAGGGGTGGTTAGAAACCTGATTAGGGACCTGCAGCTTATCTGTGGAGGTTTTACAGTAACCAGGTTGCTACATTACATAAAAACGCATTGCCTGATTTTCTAAGTAACCTGATTTGTCATAGTAACCTGGTTACATGTGTACCTGTGAACATACTAATTTAGCATTAGCCAATTTTATGCCAGTATGTTGCAACATGCGGTCTGTTTTCATGTACTAAAACCATTGAATTTTATTGGGAAAACTCATTTTATTTGGCAAGTAAATGCACATACTTAATGTACTAAAATACTTAAACTTCAGCATTTTTCAACCTGGATGCTTTTTTCCAATGTTTTGTGTCTGAGTGACTAATGAACAAGAGTGCTGAAGCCTGCAGCCTAGGGTTGCACAATTGATCGAAATATTATCGAAATTGCAATATGACCAAGTGCGATACCCAACTGGCAGAAGCTGCATTTTTTTTGCTAAAGGTAAACTATGTGACAAACAGCATTCTAATGAAATACTGTAATAAAGTGCTGCAGAAATACTCTTTCTTACTTACAAATCTTGTTGTACAGATGTAAGAAAACATGTTTGTTATAGACCCCAACCATTTTCTTCAGTGAAAATGAAAATTGTGATGTAAATTATTAATTTATTATTAAATTATTATTCCCTCTAATTTTGAATAATGTTGCAATCACAGTATTTGATCTGATGAAACATTTCAGTTGAATTAAATCAATAAAAAAACTTTATGTTGACCACCAATATAGTGTTGATAAGTTTAGTCGTGCACCAATCCAACTCGATACCAATTCTGATAAGTCACATCTGTGTACTTCACTCATCAGAATCATTTTTCTGTAAGATAACATGAGGTGGGGGATTGTTGTGGAACAAAATTTTATAAAGACATGACACAGTTTTTAGAGATATATGGACCTCTAGTAGTGCTATGGAGAACTGGTTATCTGTGTGAGGCCTGCCAATGGTTTTCCACTACTCCACTGATCCACATGTGGTGGTATTGTGCAACGGTATGCATGCTGTGCCAACAAAGGCAGGGAAGAACAAGACTGCTAGCTGATAAACATGGATGCAAACAATTCTGGATTTAAAATACTAAAAACTGGCTTTGCAAATGTTTTTTGACATTGATCAGGTGGCAGGAAACATGATTCGATGAATCCTGGATGTGCAAATAGTCAACTGTTTGTCTTTATAAGTCAGGGATGTGGTAGCGGAGTATCTGTGAGTTTGTTTTGTCATTGACACCTTCTTTATTTGTTTGTTTGTCCTCTCTTCAGTCTTATCTGTCAGTCCATCTTTGTTGCATTCTTGTCATTCCTTCACAGTTCCTCTTAGGTGAACAGAGCTGCCTAATCTTTTTAGCAGTTTAGATTTTTTTTTAAATGTCAGAAGCATTAAACATGTCTTCTTGGCATCTTTCTGACTGCCGAGGATGTCATCAAGTTCTTCGTGTATGAAGACAGGAGGGATAGCTTTCCAGCCCCTGTGGAATGTGCAACCTCCGCACTGGCATCATGCATGTGACCGAATACAGTTACATTCCACCTTTTTAAGATAACGCTTGACAACTGTTTGATATCTGTCACACAATCACAGCAACCCTTCAGGTAATCCCCTGCCTGATAAAATGGATTTGACAGTAGAGTCCAGGCACCCATTTACAGTTGGAGCCCTGACAGGTCTATTACGACCAATTACGACAAACACAAAGTAGCCCTTTCTCATCTCCAAGTCATCCCTAATCAGCCCAAGCAGAGGTCAGGCCTCCTCTTTCACTCATCTTTGTGAAGTACAGAAACTGTCTGGTATGCAGAGGATGCCCCATTACCTGTCATTGCTATGGACAATTACCTAGTCTGAACTGGCAAAAGATTAGAGAGGCCTGCAGGTACGGAGCTGTCTCGCTGATTGGCTGACTCACTTGCTGGCTAAAGAGTTTGACATTCCACATCTTAACTTTCTCCGGGACCCTTTCGTTTCATTTTCTTCCAGTCCGATCCACTCTCTCCAGCCTACTATTTTTAATAGTATGCAGAATGATTGCTGGTGTTTCGGCACACTATCACCTCATCAGTCTGTCACTCCTTTGTCACTGCTTTGTCTTTTTTCAGATTCTCTCTCCCACTCTCCTTTGCTTGTATTGTCTCTTGAAGCCTATCTGTCTGGTTTCCTGCATGTCTAACATGCTCAGAGAGATCCTATCTTCTCAAGTGTCTGCTCCCTGAGAGTCGGTCACTGTTTGAGGAGGAGGACTAACAAAGGACGCCATCAAGTCTTTTGTTTTTTTCAGCTCATATCACATTTGCACCTTTGCCAAAAGTTATTGTGTAATCCTCTCACTCTGGTCGACTTTTGTCAAGCTCCTCGGACGGATTTGTTTATATGTGTGGTAAACACTTAGTCCTAGTCACGCTAATTTTGTGGCAGACTGGAGTTTGTTGCCATTTCTTTTTAGGCACGGGACGATATGAAAATTCAATGTAACAGTTACCCCGGTCAATAATATAATTGCGATTCACGAAATAATCCATATAATCATCAATTAAAATGGCACCTTACATTTTGTTAATGGCCTATTGGCAGTATGTTTTCATTAGTGTATAATCACCTGAAAATGAGAATGATTGTGTTTTCATTACCTTAGAATGAGCCGTTCAACTGCAGAGGAAGAGGATCCTCTTTTACGGAGTCTGCCATGTTTCCACAGAGGCAAAGCAGAGGTTTGGTCAGACCAAGCTATCTTGATAGGGCCTTTTGCATTTTTTGGAAGTTTTGCACCCACCATAGTTTCTCCTACGTGCTTGGAATGGGAGGGTGAGGTGAGGGTTGTTGCAATCAGTGAGTAAATCGCTAGATGCCATTAAAGCCTACACACTGGATCTCTAAGAAACCAAATTTTTTTATTGCATCACAGATGCAGGCTCTTTCGTTCTTTACTTTGGAATCTGTAGTATTTCCACACATCTGGTTTAACTTCTTTTGTGGGGGATAGAACGGGTGAGCCGAGACTTCAGCCATGATGACAAGTTTAGGATTTTAGAACGACTGGAGAGATGCAAGTTCTCACTTGTGGCAGTTCAAAATAAATCAGGAAATTAGCGACCTAGACAGCTTCTTCAAATCAAGCCATGAGCTGTGAGTATATTCACGATTATCCCGATTCACTGTCTTAAAACGTATTTAGTGACAAAATTAAATAATTATGAATCAATTATTTATTTCCCTAAATAAATAAGCATTATTATTATCTAGCGGTGAGATTGCATATGGCTACAAACTAAAACCCCTTGACTCAACCGAGTGCAAAGGAGAAACTACGGCGGCCTTGCGAAAGCCCCTATCTAGAGCCATTGTTTGGTTTGTCCATTCTGGTCTGCTGTAGAAACATTGCGTAACACATTGGGGAGTCTGTAAAAGAGGACCCACAAAGATTCTTATTATCGGGTGATTATACACTAATCAAAACATACCTCTAAATATCATATTCCATTTCTGCCAATAGATCCTCCTAAATGTTACACATATACTTTTAGAGTCATACGTTTAATAATTACAAACAGCAACATTCTAACAATAGAAATTGTTAGCAAAACTATGCATATAATTGCACTTCTTGAAAGAAAATATAATATTTACATTATCATAGGTGTTCCAGAGAGTCAAATCCTATATTGTAAGTACTATTTCAGCATCCTGCAGCTTGTTCACACTGAACCAGATTTACTAAGAACGTAAGAAAATGGCACAACACTAATGTGCGCTGCAGTTTTCATTGAATTTGTGGCCACAGTCTGTGTGTAATCAGGGCCTGATTAAGTAAGACAGCAGCTCATTATGCTGTCAGCTCCTGGACTGAGTCTGGGCCTCAAATTCTGAACAGCATCATTTTGTAGCTTACAGTGGAGCAGGTAGAGCTATGGATATGGGGTTGATCCAACTGATAAAACCAGACCCTGCCAATACTGGTAAATGCAGCCAAATGTAAGCTGTAAATGTCTTATCAAAAGAGAGAGGAGTGATAACCTGTGGTGAGTTCACTGAGCGTCAAGTTCAGAAGCAGGTTTTGTTTGCTGTTATAGAGTAATCAAATATTGCATTTATTAATAGTTATTGCAGAATTGTTCTCTGTTTCATCTATTCTATATTTTATTGTCTTTTATTTATTTTGTTTTTTTTTAGATACAAGCCTTTAGTTTTTAAAAGCTTATCTAAGGTAAGAAAAGTGATACGGTGCAGCTCATTCTGATGTCACTGATTTATTTAAAACACAGTTGAATTCACATTTTATTTTTTCCGTTTGCAGTATGCAAAATTATCTCTGACAATTGGGGATAAAAAAATACACTAATTTTTACTGCCTAAAATATGCCTATATGCAGAGCGAAGAAGATAAAACACACACCTGCAAAGCACAGCTGTATAACAGACCCGTCACCTGCAATTATCTCTAAATCAGTTCCGGGATCCGACCTTTACCATGTTAACTCAGTATAAGACTCGCAACTTGACCACAAGGGCAATTCAGGCAAAAACTATAGGTGGCACATCCAGAAGCTCCCTCCACATTTTCAGGAAATTCTTTTCACTTGTGTTTTGACCTGCTCAGACCAACATCTTCTTTCAAGATTTAAAAACTGTTTAAGAACTTTTTGGTTAGCTTAATTTTCAGAAATGCCAACATTTGTGAAATGAAATGATGTGTTGCTTATTTGAAATATTCATGGGCCTGGTAAAAATGGAATATCTGTTTGGCACATTCTCTGTCTCATCCTCCTACTGTCCCCACCCTCTTTCCAGGTCCAGGACATGTGTTTCAGCCAGGACAGTCGCTGGGTAGCCATCAGCACCCTCCGCGGCACCACCCACGTATTTCCCGTCAACCCCTACGGTGGCGCACCCTGCGCCCGCACACACATGTCCCCGAGGGTGGTCAACCGGATGTCTCGCTTCCAAAAGAGTGCCGGCCTGGAGGAGATCGAGCAGGAGCTGAACAGGGCGGCTGCGTTAGGAGGTGGAGCTGGCGGAGGAGGCATCGGAGGAGGTGGCTGCATTCTGGGCGGGGGAGGAGGCATCGGGGGCCGCTGTAGCCCCATACCTGGCCTGTCCAGCAGCCCCTCGGGGTCTCCGCTGCACGGTGAGGAGCTGGGAGGGATGGGAAGTGAGGGTCTTACTGATGTTGTTGTTTGTTTGCAGGATCCAGAGTTCACAGGGTTAGGGTTACATATTATTGGATGTTATGAATTCGACCAAATACCCTGGTGACATTCAGGTCCTCTGATGATAAATAATCATGATATCTCTTTTAAAAACATCATATCGGCCACTGCCAACTATATTTTAATTTATTTTGCCATCTGATTAGAGCTTAGGAGAAAAGTTTAAAGTTGCTGCAAGCTATACTTTTTTGTTCAGATAAGTGTTAAATAGCTCTACATTCAGTGTTCAGTAAATAGAGTACATTAAATAAATAAAAATACTCTGGTATCCCGTTCTCACTTCATCCACTCAGCAGACCGAACTCCACAAAGAGGCGGTCCTGAAGGGCAGGAAGTAGATTATCAGTGTGGTGACGTGGGGAGGAGGGAGGGGACTGTTCACTGCAAGAACGGACAGGAAGTTAGCCAGAATGCTAATTTCACTTTTCTCTTTATTTTCTCACTACATTTAGTTTATTTAAGTAACTGCATTATTTATTGACATATTCAGTTGTACTTTGGACTGGTCAGGTAGCCTTTTACTGCTTTTTGTTGGATTTTCGGGCTTGATATTACTGGCATCAGTGGTCATCAACCATCAATGTATGTAATGTGATGAAATGTTCTGTACCTTTATTTGGGCCGGAGATACAAAATATGTATGCAGTAGTTTGCAGTAGGGTTGCAATTAACCATTACTTTCATTACAGATAAAAATCAGTTATTCGGTCTCTGCCATCAAACAAGCATACATTTTTCATAATTATCTAAATAATTGTCAATTGATTTTCTGTCAATTGACTGACCTGAACTGAATAATTATTGCCCTTCTGAATTTAATAACCTAGTTGACTTAATCATCAACAAAAAAAGTTTACACATCCAACAGACACAAGTCAACATTAACATCCATTTAGAGTCGTATTTCTGCCACCTGATGAATAAAGTCCAATATATACTCTCCTTTTAGCTCAGTTTTAGTCTCTACCAACTGCTGAGAAAAAGAATCTGGCTCTTTATCTGTCAGATGTTTATCACAGCTGTTTTGTTAGGAATAGCTGCCCTGCGGAAGTTGATGTGAGCTGAAGCATACAGTGAATGACTGTCAAACCAAAACAAAAAGCTAAAGGAGGCTAAAAGTCTCTGTAGAGCCTCAGAGTTTCAAGATTAGAAGTAAAGTATTAAGTTGCTTCAGGCTAGAGATTGCTCCAGTCCGTGTGTGTGTGTGTGTGTGTGTGTGTGTGTGTGTGTGTGTGTGTGTGTGTGTGTGTGTGTGTGTGTGTGTGTGTGTGTTTCCAGTGACTGGTCATCTCAGTAGCTCTTTTCCAGGGACTCTGATCTGTCTGCCACAACCTTGTCTCTCTTGTTTGTCAAACACCAGTGTGGGCTGCTCACACTGTCTGTGTGTCCCTAGCTGACATAGATACACACTGATAAACACACACTTTGTGTCAGCTGCACTGCCTGACCCCAGAGGTGTTACTCAGAGTAAAATATCACAGTTCTCATTAGTCATGGGTTTCCAGGAATATCCCTGAGCTTTAGTAGGTGAACTACAGCCAGGGTGAGGTCAAGAACTTGATAAACACTTCAGAGAACCAAATGACTGGGAATTGACCAGTGGGTAATTTTACATAATATTGTAGAATGTATTTTACAACCTTTTTTATGCGCTCATCATGCACTAGATGGTTTTCAGCTTACTGGAGAGGTAAGCAGGGCTTTAACCCTTCCGAATTGAGGATGAAATGGCGTTTTTTAGTATAAAAAGTGGAAAATCCAAGTCAGGTAGGAAGCCGCTGAATATATTCCACCGAACATCAGCTCCCCTATTCTGACTGTGCAAGATGGTTTGTTACACTGAACCATCTAGGAAGTAAGCAAAACTGTTTGGAAAAGGGCAGGTACTTTGAAAAAATACTCAGCAGGTGATTGGATGAACCATCTGTCTGTCACTGTCTAGCACAGGTGAACTTCAACCAGTCAGATCAACAAAGCACATAAGCTCTGGTAGCAGCCTGGTAGGTCTACCAGTTGAGCTACCAGGCTGCCCCATGTTATGTTTTTACAAATGTCAGCATACTGTTCTCATAGTTCATCCCAGCTGTTGTCGCTGCTTCTTTTCCAATTCTCAGTGGATTGTTGATGGATTTAGTCTCCCAAGATCCGGTAATGTCAGATACCATAACTGACAGAAACATTATGTTACTAAGTGCAACATGCTTCTCATTAAGGGCAATGCAAGTGGATGCTATTTAACACTGTTAACTATATTAAAGTGGATATTGTTGCTATATTTTTTGCACACAATTTAACTGTTGGTATGTTTGGTAAAATTTTGATTCATACTATTTGTGGCAGAAGTTTTTCTACTTCTGTATTCTTCTCCAAACTGGGGTGCACGCTGACCCCTGTCTACTGCACGAAACATACTGAGTATAGAGTAGTACCTCATACAATCTAACTAATAATTCATTTTTATAAGATTACACATAGTTTTTGCCATATCGTTTATCCTTTACAAGTGCATTTTTATAGCCACAATGTGCTTTCTCCTAAGCTGTTCCCAGGCTCTATTCTTTAAGTACTCTTCCAGTCTTCATATGGGGCAGAATAGGTGACAGAAGACGCTGGGACCAAAAGGTCAGGGTCAAGTAATGTTCTTATCTGCCCGCCCCAGAACTCGCACTGCACCCCCAGTCACGTACACGCACACACATACACACTCTCGAAAGACGGCGCCCTCGCTTCCTCTCTCCTTCCTGTCTTCCTCGTCTAGACCCAGACCCCTCTGTAACCCCTACACCAAAACACACACACACACACACACACACACACACACACACATTCCTCCACACTGTGAAAAATAGGCCATCAAACATTAAAAGGATGTCTGACTTTGGAGAGTCACTGCTCCGCTGCGATGAGAGACAGAGAGGGACAGAAACATCAAAGGTGGGGTAGGAGGTGAAAGTGAGCGAGCAAAGTAATGAGGTGCAATTGAGAAAAATGAAGGAGAGATAGGACGGGGGAATGAAGGAGGGGCAGCGGCAGACAGAGGGAGCGAAAGATAAGTTTGTAGTAGCAGCGCTGAAAGCCAGGGTCTCTGGGAGCGTGGTCGTAAATCACACTTTTGTTTCAAAGGAGAGCATTAGGACCACCTGTCAACAATTAGTCCTCACAGTGATACCTTATTGAGTGTGTGTGTGTGTGTGTGTGTGTGTGTGTGTGTGTGTGTGTGTGTGTGTGTGTGTGTGACATTTGAAGAAGATAAACTATCTACAAACTGGTCATTGTTTTATGGTAAAGTACAAAAAAAAGGAGCAGGTCAGAATGAAAGATTAGAGTCGAGCTGCAGTGAAGTTTACTCGACTCTTGGGGAGAAAATTGAAGGTTTTCATAACTCTAATATTTTACAGTGCATAATATAGTCCACAGGAAATTGAATTCAGGTTTCACACTGCTTTTATCAAGGTGTTAATCCATACCATACGCTACACTAGCTCACTTTCTGATAAACACAAAGCACCTCACTGTGCGAGCTGTGAGTCAGTGTTACGATCTCATTCATATGGTAGTATCTAGCACTTTTGAAGTTCGGTATGTTACAGTGACCTCTTATTTTTTGTGTGGGGTGTGTCTGTGCTCTGATGATCACATCAGACATGTTTCTGGAAGCACCTGCTCCTTTTAACCCACACTGCAAATAATTGTACAAACCAGCAGAGCAATGTGCAATCTAGAGCAGACCTTTATAAAGTATGGCACCTCTTTATGCCCTCACCCCTCCAAAATAAAATGAACACACATATAATACATACCATGCACACCATTTTCAGCTTGATGTGAAATATGTGACATGGATGACATCAGAAGTAAGTGACTGATATATTATTGCCCTATTCTCAGTCACTCTGAAAAAAGTGTTTGTGTCATATCTTACATTAAACCATGAATAACTAGAAAGGCAATCATAGAGTGCAGACCTCTGCCAAGGCCAGTAGTCCAGTCTTCTGTGAGGTTGCCCGATTGCTTATTTGTCACATACCTGCAGCAGTAATGTTACACTACTGCTGCACTTAACAGCAAATCAGTTAATACATTACATTGAAGCTCTGCCCTCTTAAAAAAAGGCTCTAATAACTTAATTTGTGCAATTAAGGGTAATTTGCCTTAATACTAGTGAAGTGATCCGTCTGAAGTCCAGTAAATCTAAGTGTAACAACACTCCTTATCCAGTCTGTGGTTAAGCTGTTTGACCGAAAGTAAATCTTTAAAAATGAAAAGTTACAAGACACTTTGGTTATCGGTTTAGTCTAAAACTCTTATTCCACAGTCTGATTTACTCCAGCTGAGAGCTGTTGACTATGAAATCAGTAAATCAAAAATACCACAGCATTAATCGTAGCAAGAAGCATGATTCAATACTCAGTTTTCTTAACACATAAGACTTTCAACCAGTAGTAAAGAACTTTAAAAAGTTATATATCAGTGTTAGTATGGCATTATTCTGCAGACCACTGTGTGTTTAACCAATTTAACAAAATAATGAAAAATGTGTTTTCTGATTTCTGAATGAATGAATCAGCAATCTCTCTACTTTTCAAGTTTGTTCCTCGTCAGCTCAAAGAAAAACAGTCATCTTGAAACTTTATGCAAACAGATTTGATAGATAAAATAAAATAATTTGATAAAATCGAAAAGCTAGGACTCTTAAATTGCCCTTTTTGTAGTGCTCTTTTTTTATGGTGTGGTCCCAGCAGCTGTGCCTTCACCAGGTCACACACTATGCAATTTTATTCGCTGCACGCTGCATTTTTGGGGCTTCTCAGGGTGTTGAAAATTAAGTCTATGATAAATTTGATTTGTCAGACAAGCTCTTGTGCCGAAACAAGATGATCCTCACCCTCAAAAGCAAGCATATATTTATATGGTGCAA